TTAGCTCTTCCAAAGCAGGGAATTCTATCAGCAAGTATGCAAAGTTTCCATCTATCTTACACACACACACACACACACACACACACACACACACACATTTTCTGTATGATATCAATAAGCAGTTTCTGTATTTTTAAGACTATCTATTATATCACACGACTTCTTGTTCAAAAGTTTTCCATATCTTCCACTTAGAGAATTAATGGCATTCAACATCAGCCATAATCTACTTTGTACCTCTCTTCCTACAGTACCTCTCTTCCTACAGTCTTCACAGGCACCCTGGCTTCTCATAGCTCTCAGAATAGGTCTGCTCTTTTAGTTCTTGTGAACAAATATTCATTGGACAACTGCTATGTGCCACATGCTATTGCATGCTTTGAGGAAACAGCTATAAAGAGCAGTCCTAATCTCCTGTAGCGGGGGTCCTGGTGGGGATCTTTCACCTCCTCCTGCTGCTCCTATCGGAGCACTTAACCAGGCTGCACATTAGCTCTATCTAGGTCCGTTCCTCACTCTGAACACTGCTGTTCTGTGCATGGCTCTCAGTCTTCCTCTTCTCTCATCATTCCCATCTCATGCTCTGCTCAGCAGCAGGCACACTGGATGCCCAATGATTGATTTATATTGTACATACAGTCTTTTTTCTTTGGAAATGTAATAAGTTCTTGTTGTACAGAGAACCCATCTGCAGGGTTATCTAACTCTTTGGAATTTTAACATTGAGTTATTTTCAGTAACTAAGCCACTTGACTGGCAACAAGAATGACAAATATCAAGCTACCCCTGTGGAACTAAACCATGTGAATGCAACTGATCAGACGGCCACATTGACTTAAGCTGTAGTCTCTCTCCTCAAATCTAAGAATCCCTCATCCCCCTTCCTCATGTTTCTTGATCTCGTGGAAGAAAGAGCTGCCTAGTCTTTCTTCCATGAAATCAGGAGAGAAGCTAAATGTGAAGCTGCTCATCTTGTTCCCTTTCACTTTGACCTCCAAGGTAGAAACTGAAGACCAGGTGCTGGCAACCTTTTGTGGCAGGGAGACCACGGACACAGAGCAGACCCCTGGCCAAGAAGTGGTTCTCTCCCCTGGTTCCTTCATGTCCGTCACTTTCAGGTCAGATTTCTCCAACGAGGAGCGATTCACAGGCTTTGATGCCCACTACATGGCTGTGGGTAAGTGAAGGGACTGGGTGGCTCATCCTCCAGTCTCTTGTTCTCTGTAAAGGTGCAAGCTCTCTGTGTCCTCTCCTAGACAGCAAACACCTGTTTACTCACGACACAGGTTCTACCATTCATGTCTTACAGCATTAGCAAATGTCATCACCCGTCTACCCATCTATCTTCTGTTTATTCATCAATTCCTCTTTTTTGATACATCAAAGTAATTGCAGACATCAGGACACATCTTCCTAAATACTCCTTCATGGATATAATTTTGCTAGAGTTTTAT